AAAAAATGAGGAATTTCAAATAGTTAATTTGATACTAATATCGATATTTTTTGTCAAATTTTTATGATATAATCAAACATATATTTTATTCAAAAATAAAAACATCATCGCTTTCTCAAAATCACATAAAGTCATATTATAACATCGACTGAGATAAATAATAAAATGAAATATTAAAAACACGATGTATCTCGCTGCATTGCACGAGTACGCTTCTAGTATATATATATATATATATATATATATATAACGTTTAAAATATTAAATTAACAATTAAAAAATTAATCAACTAAACATAAAATCAATTGTTTTGATTTTCCCTTGAATATAAAAATCAAAGAAATAAATAGCAAGACACGTTACTCTGTTGTTGACACACAAAAGTCAATTACGTGGCTACTGAAACTCAGTTTCATGTCCAAATTTAGACACCTTTTTCTTTCAAATTTATATAATTCTTTCGGTTTGTGTATTTTGTTCTCTAATAAAGAAGGTTTGGTGCACAGGATTCGTAGTAAATGCTTATGCAGTGCCATATGATTATGGTTATACCGCTGAGGTAACTTCGAATTCCACGTCTTTTCTACCAACTCCTTTGCTTTTTCTTGTTTCACCTCACACTCATCATATCCAAGAGGGTCTCCAAAATCTTCAATGCCCTTGTAAAGGACTTGAAAACAGGTGATCTGTCTTCAAACACCCAAGCTTTATTGCCTGTAAACATAATGCTTGATCTTTTTGCAGTGCTTAAAGAATCCCAATAAGCCGCAGTATGATGGGGGAATCGTCGTTAACCCAGAGCTGAATGATGGAGACAAGGGTTGGACTTCTTTCGGCAATGCCAAACTACAGATTCGAAGATCGGAAACTGGAAATGGATTTGCGGTGGCTTATCGAAGGAACCAATCGTTTGACAGCATCTCTCAGGAGTTTTTCTTGGACCACCAAAAACTCTACACGTTTTCTGGTAATTGAGATGTTTGATTTGCTTGAAAATGGGAAGTTTTAGTTTGTGTTTTTGCTTTTGATGATTCGAATTTGGATGGAATATGAATGCAGCTTGGGTGCAAATAAGCCATGGGGATGCTACGGTGGTTGCTACATTTAAAACACCAACAGGCTATTACAATGCTGCTGCCACCAAAGCTATATCTGGTTGCTGGTCCATGCTTAAAGGTGGCCTCACCGTCAATGACTCCGGCACTGCCCACCTCTATTTCCAGGTACATTAATATAAGGTTCAGAGTTTAGGGTTTTATAGATTTCTAGCTCGCCTGTAAATATGATCTGTTTTATAAGACATCATATATGTATGAATAGCATCCACAAAGGAAGGTTTAAGATATACAGCCATATTTGGTGTCTGTAAAACCAATTTTGTTGTGTTGCTCTAAACATACACTTGTTTTCTATAGAGCGAAAATCCATCGATTGATATATGGATCGACAGCGTTTCTTTACAACCCTTCACCCAAGAGGAATGGAAGTCTCACCACTCTCAGAGCATTGAAAAGGTGCAACCAGAAGACATCTTCTTCAAATTTATACCAATCATTCATCATATCTGATCAACCAAATGTATGTTAAGTTCTTCAATTTTCTGATCAATGGCAGGTTAGGAAGAGTAAGGTCAGAATTCAAGCAGTTGATGGTAAAGGCAAACCCCTAGCGAATCGAACACTGACCATCCAACAAAAGTTTGCAAAGTTCCCATTTGGATGTGCCATTAACAAGAACATCCTAAACAACCAAGCCTACCAAAACTGGTTCACTTCAAGATTCAAGTACACCACCTTTGAAAACGAAATGAAATGGTACGCCAACGAACCTATCCAAAACTGCGAGGACTACACAGCAGCCGATGCTATGCTTCAGTTCACTAAATCACACGGGGTTTCCGTRAGAGGCCATAACGTGTTCTGGGATGACCCCAAGTATCAACCAAGCTGGGTTCCAAATCTCCAGCCATCACAACTGGCGGCTGCCGCCAACAAGAGAATAAACTCCGTGATGAGACGATACTCGGGCCAAGTGATTTCATGGGACGTWGTGAATGAGAATCTGCATTTCAATTTCTTTGAAAGCAAGCTTGGTAAGACTGCTTCTTCAAAGTTCTACACRCAGGCTAGAGCKCTCGATAGAAATGCGGCTTTGTTCTTGAATGATTATAACACCATCGAAAGCCCTGGTGATACCAAGTCATCGCCTGATAGTTACTTGTCGAAAATCAGAGAGACTCGATCAGGGGGTTATCGTGGGACCTTATCGATCGGCTTAGAAGGTCATTTCAGCGGGCAAGTCAATATTGTTGAAGAAGTCTTACTCTAGAATAAGTCATAGCTAGCTTCTAGGAGTAGTCAATAAAGACTTGGTCATAGCTAGTTGTTGCTTTTTGTTAGCTATTCTTTTGCTTTTCTGTTGCTTTTCTGTTTCAGCTACTAGGCTATATATATAGCCCTTCTTTCTTGAATAAATAAATGAAGCATTCGCAGCTGCAAAACCTGTTTTGTGCTTTATTTACTTTACAAATTGGTATCAGAGCCACACCGGGCCTGATAGAAGGAGTGTAAAAGGAGATAAGTAAGAAGAGAAKAGAAGAGAAGAAGTTGAGAAGCAGAACAGTTTTTCAAGGAAGGCTGTTTAAGCAAATATGACGACTAATGATAAGAGTCTTCCTGTAATTCCACAATTCGATGGCGTCCACTATGACCATTGGAGCGAGCTGATGGAAAATTTGCTTAGAGCTAAAGGGCTATGGAGTCTGATAGAGAATGGTTTCACGGAACCACGAACCGGGGTCGTGTTAAATGCTGATCAACAGAGGTCACTGCAGGAGGCAAAGACCAACGATTATAAGGTAAAACACTTCTTGTATCAAGCTATTGATCGAGTAGTGTTTGAACAGATTCTTGATAGAAGAACATCGAAGATAATTTGGGACTCCATGAAGAGTAAATATGRAGGGAATGCTCGAGTTAAGAGGTCTCTTCTTAATACATTAAGGAGAGAGTTCGAGGTTCTGGAAATGAAGAAGGGAGACACAATCTCGGAGTATTTTGCAAAGGTAATGGCAATCACAAATCAGATGAGAAGCAATGGGGAAACAATGCCAKATTCCAAGGTTGTGGAGAAGATTCTGAGAACGTTAACCGACAGATTCACATATGTGGTCATCTCAATTGAAGAATCCAAAGACACGGATTCAATGACCATCGATGAACTACAGAGTTCTCTTATGGTTCATGAGCAGAAATTCAAGAGGGCAKAAAAGGAAGAAGAAGATCAGGTGTTGAAAGCTACGCTAGACAACGAAGGATACAATGCTAGAGGRAGAGGTCGTGGCTATTTTCGAGGACGAGGCCGGGGAAGAGGCCGAGGAAGACAGCCCTTTAATAAGAGCATAATTGAGTGCTACAAWTGTAACAAACTTGGGCACTTCCAGTATGAGTGTCCAAGTTGGAACAACAATGCACATTATGCTCAAGTAGATGAGGAGGAAGAACTTGTCCTTATGGCGCAAGTGGAGATGTCTGATGATGAAAGGGAAGAAGATATAGAGTGGGCCTTTAGGACTCACGTGGAAGATGAAAATAGAGCAAATGCTTGGTTTCTCGATTCAGGATGCTCAAATCATATGAGCRGGGATAAGAACTGGTTCTTAAACATTGATGAAAGTGTCAAACGCGTMSTCAGGCTGGGAAATGACACCAGAATTGCAGTCAAGGGTAAAGGAAACATCAGACTAAAGGTAGGAAGTCTGGTACAGGTGATTACAAACGTTTATTATATTCCCGAATTGAAAAACAATCTCCTTAGTGTGGGACAGTTGCAAGAAAGTGGCTTAACAATACTAATCAATAATGGAGAATGTAAGTTATACCATCCACATAGAGGACTCATCATGAAGACAAGAATGAGAGCCAACAGGATGTTYGTATTAACAGCTGTTACTATGGCGAATGCAACACATACGACTCTCACCCCAACTTGCTTTCAAGCAAATGCCGAYGACACACTYCATCTTTGGCATTRCAGGTTTGCTCACTTAAACTACAAAAGTTTAAAAACCATGCAGTGTCAAAAGATGGTCGAAGGGCTGCCGGTTCTCCCAACCACTACTGAAGACGGAATTTGCACAGATTGTTTAGTTGGAAAACAACACAGGGAGAATATGTCTAAGACAAGTTCTTGGAGAGCAAATAAACGACTACAGCTGGTTCATGCGGACATYTGTGGTCCGATMTCTCCTACATCCAATAGTGGGAAGAGGTATGTATTTACTTTGATTGATGATTTTAGCCGTAAAGTTTGGGTTTATTTTCTGACAGCCAAATCAGAAGCCTTCGAGTATTTCAAGAACTTTAAACAAAGTGTGGAGAAGGACAGCGGTGAGTCAATAGTTTGCCTACGAACAGATAGAGGAGGAGAGTTCACATCACTTAAATTCAACAAGTTTTGTGAACAAAATGGCATCAGAAGGCAGCTGACAACTGCATACACCCCTCAACAAAATGGCACAGCAGAAAGAAGAAATCGGACGTTGATGAATGGAGTAAGAAGCATGCTATCTGAGAAAAAAAGTTCCCAAGAATTTTTGGCCTGAAGCTGTTCAATGGTACGCTTATGTTATGAATAGAAGTCTCACAGCTGCAGTAAAAGGAAAAACACCGGAAGAAGCCTGGAGCAATATAAAACCAAGTGTTGATCATTTCAGAGTGTTCGGTTGCATAGCTCATGTCCACGTTCCTGACCAAAGAAGAACCAAGCTGGATGATAAAAGCGTCAAGTGTGTCTTATTTGGAGAAAGTCCAGAATCTAAGGGTTATAGGCTGTATGATCCAGTAGCCAAACGAATAATTGTGAGCAAGGATGTTCTTTTTGAGGAAGACAAATCTTGGAACTGGAGCAACGGTCAAAACCAGCAAGGAAGCAAGACTCTTGAATGGGGAGAGGCTGATAGTCTTAATGAAAATACGATCAGAGAAGAGACGACTACAACCCCTGTGCAAAGTGTACAACAAGATGCAAGTTCAGTGGAGATGCCAACTGTAGAGCCAGTAGAGACGACTACAACCCCTGTGCAAAGTGTACAGCAAGATACAACCGAAAGAATGCATAGGCCCCCAAGACGACTTGATGATTTCGTAACAGGAAGTGGTTTGGGACTCTCAGATGAAGAAGAAGAAGGAGAAGAAATGAATAACTGGTTGTTATTCACATCTGTGGATCCTGTTGACTTCAACGAGGCAGTAAAATGCACRAAATGGCAAGATGCAATGAAGTCAGAAATCCAAACAATTGAGAGAAATGATACATGGGAGTTAGTTGAACTTCCTACAAATGCAAAGAAGATTGGTGTCAAATGGGTATTTAAAACCAAGTATAACGAACTTGGAGAGGTGGATAAGTACAAGGCAAGATTAGTAGCGAARGGGTATGCACAAGAACAAGGAGTTGACTACAATGAAGTCTTTGCACCAGTTGCAAGATGGGAAACTATTAGACTTGTAATTGCTCTAGCAGCACAGGAGGGCTGGAACATACACCAATTGGACGTTAAAAGCGCGTTCTTACATGGAAAATTGCTTGAAGAAGTATATGTTAGTCAACCAYGAGGCTTTGAAAGGAAGGGAGAAGAACATAAAGTGTATCGATTGAAGAAGGCTCTTTACGGTCTTAAGCAGGCCCCTAGGGCTTGGTACYCAAGAATTGAAGCTTACTTCAACAAGGAAGGCTTTGAGCGATGCTCTTTCGAACACACTCTCTTCATTAAACATGGTAAAGACAATAAAATTCTCATCATCAGCTTATATGTGGATGATCTTGTCTTTACCGGTAATGATGCTAACATGTTCAATCAATTGAAGAAATCTATGATGAAAGAATTTGAAATGACAGATCTTGGAAGGATGAGTTTTTTTCTTGGTGTAGAAATTTTGCAGAGAGAAGATGGTATTTTTATCAGCCAAAAAAAATATGCATCTGAAATTCTCAAACRTTTTGGTATGTTTGATAGCAACTATGTGAGAAACCCAATTGTTCCTGGTGCACAGTTGGTGAAGGATGAATCTGGAAGAAAAGTGAATGTGACTCTCTTTAAACAAATTATYGGAAGCCTTCGTTACTTAACCGTAACAAGACCTGACTTAATGTTTGTTGTAGGGTTGATAAGCAGGTTCATGGAAGATCCCACACAACTGCATTTGCAAGCTGCAAAGCGTGTATTGCGATACATCATWGGAACTCTAGACTCTGGAGTGTTCTATAAAAGAGGTGGGAAAGCAACCTTAGTCGGRTACACTGACAGTGACTATGCAAGGGATCTTAATGATCGAAAAAGTACATCAGGTTACGTATTTATGCTTGGAGGAGGTGCTATTGCATGGTCATCTAAGAAGCAACCAGTGGTAACTCTTTCAACCACCGAGGCAGAGTATGTGGCAGCAGCATCTGCAGGGTGTCAAGCAATATGGATGAGAAGGCTACTGGAAACATTGACGTTTCCACAGGAGGAAGCTACAGTCGTGTTCTGTGATAATAGCTCAACCATCAAGCTTTCTAAGAATCCTGTTCTACATAAAAGAAGCAAGCATATTGATGTAAGATTCCACTTTCTACGTAATCTTACGAATGAAGGAGTGATAGAGCTTGTCTTTTGTCTATCAGAAAGTTAGGTTGCAGATATCATGACAAAACCTTTGAAGCTTGATGCATTTGAAGGACTTAGAAAGCAACTTGGAATTACGAGCATAGCTGAGTTAAACTGCAAGGAGAATGGAAAGCARTTTACAGGAGGGAATTGTTGAAGAAGTCTTACTCTAGAATAAGTCATAGCTAGCTTCTAGGAGTAGTCAATAAAGACTTGGTCATAGCTAGTTGTTGCTTTTTGTTAGCTATTCTTTTGCTTTTCTGTTGCTTTTCTGTTTCAGCTACTAGGCTATATATATAGCCCTTCTTTCTTGAATAAATAAATGAAGCATTCGCAGCTGCAAAACCTGTTTTGTGCTTTATTTACTTTACAAATATACCATACATGAGATCTGCCATTGATAAAGTTGCTAGTTCAAAACTGCCCATTTGGATCACTGAAGTAGATGTTGGGGCTGGATCGAATCAGGTATTTCGGGTTCAAACCTGCTTTTTTTACATTTCAAACACAAAAATTATAAGACTTGCATGTTCTTTCTTATATGATCAACTAATCACAAGTAATGCATTTGTCAAAAGTAATGAAGCAAGATTTTTACAATTAATTTGAATGACAGGCAGCAATTTTGGATCAAGTTCTAAGAGAAGCGCATGCACATCCAGCCGTGAATGGGATCATTCTTTGGTCAGCATGGAGTCCAAACGGCTGCTACAGAATGTGCTTAACCGATAGCAGTTTTCGGAACTTGCCCACCGGTGACGTCGTAGACAAGATTATTCGCGAATTCTTTGGTGCAGTCGTTACAGCCACCACCGATGCTAACGGATTCTACGACACTTCTTTACTTCATGGAGATTACCAGCTTTCGTTTGCGGAATTTGATCGTTACCAGCCTCATGAAAAAGATTCGAATTCCACATGGATCTCTCATAATTTTAAGGTTGAAGCTTCTGATGACATGTTGCACATCAAAATCTTGGCTTAATAACTTCATGTTTGGATATTAATTGGTAGCCAAAGCATGAAAGAAAAGGTGAAGATAAATGGAAGTGTTGAGTGATTTCAGAAGTACCCTCCTTAGATGCAAATATCCAACCTATTAGAATAACTAGACAAGGGCATTTTAGTCTTTTTTCCTTGTATGCTTTTGTTTCTTTTTGATGAATTTCTTCAGAATCTAGTATTCTCCTTGACTGTCTGTATCTTTGTGAGAAAAGAAATATACAATAAATACATGATTCTCCATCTACTTGTGTCATTTCCGGTCATTGCTTAAAGATTAAGTCAAAAACAGACATAGCTTAATGACGGAGCAGCACTTAAAGTTAAGCGACTGATCCAATTCTGCTTACACATCGCCACAACTTGTACAGTTAGTCACCATCACCCGGGTGTTCTTATTTTCAAGAGGGGTGTTTAAAAACTCGATCAACTCAACCCAACGTGAAATAATTCAACTTGAAACAACCTGGTGTCTAATTAAGTTGTAAGATTTTTAAATCGTGGGTATTGGATTGATACTGTATTACTTTTATTTAAACTCAACCTCACCCGATGAATCCAATATATCCTTTTATTTTTTTTGGATTTAATATGATTGTCTAATCAAGTTGTAAGATCTTCAAATATTTTTTTGAGTTAAGAGCTTGAGCTCGATGCTCGTTTATGAGTTCGTATTTGCAATCGGTTAACTCGTTTATCGGTTTGAGATCGATAATTCTTATATATGAGCATGTTTGGCTCGAACAAAGGTATTCTCGAATGGCTCGTCTTGGCTCCACTCGACTCAAAAAACTGACTCGAGTTTTGGAACGAGCCGAGTCGAACATAAGTGTTATAAAGCTCGTCTCGTTAAGTTAAACGAGTCCTATTTTATGTTCGAGATCAAATCAAACTTGAATAGCTCGTTAAAAGTTCGAATCGTTTACACCTCCAAATGACCCTATAATTACCCAAACCCATTTATTTTTTCAGAAACTTGCAAGAGAATTATATGATTTTCACAATATAAAAAGTATGTTTTATTTGTTTTATGGATGGTTGTAAGAGTCTACTTATGCACGAATTTTATCAAGGATGACCTTCTTAAATGTAATTTTGTTATGTGATAGTTTATTATTTTTCAATTGAAGGTCTAATTTTGAATTTTCATCGGCAATGGTTTGGTGATTTTATATATTACCGACATAATACTGGCAGTTATGGTAAACGACAAAACCTTGTGAAATTTCATGTTGTCGTAGGTCCTTACGTAATCTATTGCACATCACCGATGAATTTTCGGCGTTGATGATGATGTTGGGCGCTAAAGTCCCTTGTGTAGTAGTGTCAGACATTTCAGATTGAGATTGTGAAGTTGATGGGGGCCATTGGTTTGGAAGAGACTCTTGTAGTTCTATTAATTTTACTTTTGCAAAGAACAACGGAAAGATTTAATCTATTTTGTGGGTCAGGTATTCGGGCCAAGCTGGAGGAGAAACCAGAGGCATTTAAGAAAGTGGCGGCGGAATTGGATGTACGTGAAGATCTGAGTGCGGTGGATAAAGACGAGATAGAGGAAGTTGGTGACCGGGGAGAATGTGATTGTGGAGGGATCGTCAAGTGAAGCCATGATGTGGATGTGGATGCGGAGGTGGAATAAAGAAATGTGAGGGATGTTATATATCTGATGTAAGACGAACGATCTTGTAAGAATGAGAGTTAAAATAAAAAGCGTAATAAAGGATCTGGTGATCACTTTTAGTCCCACCCACACCTCATGGATTGTGTTTATCATGGAAATTGTATATAAAATAATAAAATAAATAAAAAGATTAAAAACGCTAGAAGGAGGGCTTGAACCTCCGACCTTGTGGTTAACAGCCACACGCTCTAACCAACTGAGCTATTCCAGCTTTTGTTTCCTACACCTAACAAGACGCTAAATAAATTATGCTTTATTTTCACCAAACAAGCTGACTTTTATTCATAAATACTAATTTAAATGTATTTTTATACCAATTTATGCCTTGTTTTATTTTCATGAAATGCTTATTTTATTTTTGTAATTTATACTTTTGAACAAAAGAATTATGTATTTATGTTTTATTTCACCTAAAGTTATTTTATTTTTATTTAAAAAATAAATAAATTATTTTGTGATAACATTAAAAAAAACAAGGAAATAAATAAAAGTTAAAAAAATGGACCCAATTTTAATTGTTGCATGCATTGGCAATGGCATAAGAGTAACATAAAAAACCTGATTCAAACATAAATATATCATTTACATTATTTAATAATTGAAATTCTATACAACCCTGTTGTTATTTCACCAAAAAGTTTCTTTAGAAACAAACAACCAATGATGTAATTATTTTTAAACTTTTGTGTCATTAAAGATTGATCATATTTATATATTATCTGTACTTAATGAGTTTCTCATTTTATTATTATTATTATTATTATTATTATTATTATTATTATTATTATTATTATTATTATTATTATTATTATTATTATAAGGGTGTTGCCTGATTGGTTTGAGCTTGGCTCCAAAGGTCAAAAGTACTAGGAGGTCTCAGATTCAAATCCAATGAGAAATAAAAAAATCCCCTTGTGGCCATGGAGGCTCAAATGCAGTGACTCCGGGCTATCTGCAAAGCAAGTGGTCGTCCTAAGATTAATCGGCTCGTATAACGGGGTTGGATATCCAGATTAATCAAAAATAATAATAATAACAATAAACTTTCAACTTGCAAGTATCTTTTTTCTTTATCATGGTTTAAATTCTCAATCAAAATCAATCATTATCATAAAGATGACTCTTTGTTTTGTTTATTTACCATTAAGCTGCATAAAAGAATCCAAATACATTTTGCCTTGCACCTTTTGGACTCAAACAAAAAGCCAACAAAGAATGTTTAATACATAATTGACATTTCAAGAACATACCTCAAATCTTTTTAACCTTTCCACGTTGACGAATAAATGAATAGTCATGAATCTTAATCGTCTTTTTCAATGATCTTAATCAAAATTGAATCAAACCCTTAACAAATACGTTTGATTTTCAATCGACAATTCCAAACTGTCATACGGTTTTAAATCATCTCAAACCCATATAAGTCTTGGTCAAGATTATTCCTAACAGATCTCCAATCTTCTGTATATCCTTAATTATTTAAAACCCAGATAAAAAACGGTATTAGGTTACCTTATCCCATATTTGTTATGACTATAATTGCATTAGGAAAACCATGGGAACAAGTTATTATAGCCAAGGTCAATGGTTTTGGTGATAATTTGATTTTGACATGTGTTTCTACTTTTGGACCTTTTCTCTATTGCTTCCATGAACAAACCCCATGCGTGTGTTATGTATAGCCGCCTCTCATTTGCTTGGGGTAGGTGATACTTATTTTGGTTTAATGACACTTTGCACCCTTATACTTTTGTTTTTTGTTTTTATTCATCCAAAAGGATCTGGATTTAGTTAGATTATTAATGATAATGGTAAGTCGACTTGGAATCTAAGTAGTAACAAATAAGTAATATACTGATGTTGATCAAATGGCCAAACTACGAAACTGAAACGAACATAATCAACAAGTCTGGTTTGATTTAACATATACTGTTTTCAGTTTCCGTTCAAAGAAAATCTTGTACGTCTACAATATGCTCGGTTTGTGATTAGTATGCTAAACCTAATAAAACAAAACATATGGTCAAAAGGATTGTTAATGTAAATAACAACGGGTCAAAATGAGAAATAACATGGTATTAGAGGAAATAGTTATGTTCATAACATATGCTATTTTTTCTTCACAAGGTACAAATACATTATTTCATACATTAAAACCAGATAACTTTTCTCCGTTTTGGAAAGATAAAACAGTCATTTTATACAAATCCGTTCCATATATGACTACCACTCGGACTCGAATGTTGAAATAATAAATTGTTATTTGATGACAACTATTGTCCACTACCCACTCTACTAGAAACTTGGCTAGTTGCATTATCCTGAAGAAACTTTCGTTGTTTAATAATGGTCAAAATTGACACTTTCTTCGATTCTTGAGTTTAAGATTACCAAAATACCCTTCAACTGTATTTAATTTATGATCGGTACCATCGTTTCTCATTTCACCTCGACCCTACCCCATTTGTACCTACCTTACCCACCATATTAAACATATGTGGTTAATGCACATAAGGTCATTATTCGTAAATGTTCAATTGAGTATTTATTTTCAAACACAAATACATCATGATATTGTTAAAAATTCTAAAAGAACAAGTCAAATAGAGATCACAATTTCAAATACGATGTTTATGTAGACAACATGCCTACATGACTAATAGATAAGGATGAGTTAAATTTTATCCAATCCTTATTAATTTTCTCAGATATTATTTAAAAAAACCTTCTTGTCTCTCAAAATTTACATACGTTAATTCCATATAATTGTAAAAAAATAATATATATATTCATCACATAACAAAATTTATTTATTTTTTATCATTTATTTATTCAAATTTTATGATATTTTTTATGAAGTGTTCATAGATCATCCATTCATGGATCAATAGCTTACTTGTTACAGAAGTTACCTTTATTTTATTTTCCTAGAAGAATAAAATCTAAAAATATTTAAAGAATGTCTTACTTGTTGAGATAGATGTCTTTGAGTAATATTATATTTTATATAATTATTGTTCTTAAAATTTCCATATTAAATATTCACTTTAATTAAATTATATATATATATATATATATATATATAGGGGCCTATTCAAAGGAGAACTGAGTTGTTTGTGGTAACTGTGAGAACCAATCTCAACCAATCATTTTAACATATTAATTATACAATTAAAATCAAATTAAAAGGGTATGTTAGTCAATTTCTAATTTAAAATTAAATTTTAATTTTTTAAATGCAACCGTTTCAAATAAAATAAATTTATATTGATTTACATTCCTAAAATAAAATATTAATATCATTTAATGAAATAATTTCAAAAAAATAAATCCATTTGTGTAAACATGTTCATTATTCTGATGAATCACATGAAATCACGCATATTTGTTGAAGATTGTATTCATAATATTTAAGAATGTTATCACAATGTATCACACAAATTTGTACTAATGTTGTTAATACATCTGCAGATTTTATGTAGCAGATGTGCTATTACCACAATGTAGCACAAAT